GGGGATCCAATTTAGGACCTTGCACTTGCAGTGCCACTGAGCTAAATCCCTGGCCCAACTGTCACTTAATTTTTAGTTTGGTTTTGCACTCCAGGTACAAAGATTCCTTTGATATCATCCTTAAACAGGCATAAAATATTATATTTCATCACATACCTCTATTCTTCAAGTGGTGTGTAATGACTATTTTTTCCTATTTGGTATCTCTGCAACACGTAGTGAACACCTTTGTTATCAGTAGCCGGCCCATGTACAGATACATTTAAATTCTTTTTACATCTCCTTTTTTTTTCACCTTCCCCATCCCAATACTTCTAAATCCTCTTCTGATTTGCAAATGATCTCTCTCTTTTCATTCAGGTTTAAAATTATACTTTTATGGGCATACATATCTTATGGAATTGATAATTAATTTTTTGGTATTCAGATCATTTTAAGAAAATGTTCTTTATTTTAAAATCATTTTCTTTAACATTTCTTCATACAATTCAAGAAATTATTAAAAAAGAAAGATTTGGTCTCTAAACTCATTTCCTCCCTAAACCATAAATCATGAATTCTCATTTCAATTACTTAATGAAGCAAAAAACCAACCAAGTACACAAAATAATTATGCATATTTCTGATTTAATTTTACACTATGCTGCAAAGCAAATAGTTTTAATATATTTACCTTTTTTAATATAACTATTCCTTCTTGGGTTTCATTATTGGTAATGATGTCAAATGTTAGCGAATCATCATCTTCAATAAAGTAATCCATTTCTGCATTTTCTCCTATGTCATTATCATATGCTGTAATTTTTCCTATAGTTGTCCCAGTGGGTGCAGATTCAGAGACAGTTAGGCGATAAAAGCCTTTAGATAAAAAAAAAACTTCAACTCATTTTGTATAAAAACAGTAATATGTGAAATTTCTAATTATAGCATTCACTTTTTATGATCTGTAGGAAAGCTTATACCTACTCTTTCAGTTTCTTGTTCTAAATTTCAGTATATCTCTTAGAGTGTGTGTCTTTACGTACCTGTACATTTTTTTATTTATCAAAACAAGGAAAACTTCCTGAATTTTCTGAATAGCTTTGCTTTTAAATATATTCTAGGTAGGGCTGGGGATTTAGCTCAGTGGTTCCAGAGCCTGACTCACAAGTGCAATCACCCGAGTTTGATCCCCAGTACAAAACAAAAACAAAAACAAAAACAAAAACACAAATATCCTAGGTAATCTTAAAACCAAAGCATATATTCCCAAATGTTCATTCATACAAACTGTCTCAAAGATTTTTGATTCATCATCACTGTACTGTATTGTCTATTATCCAGTATTAAATGTGATAGTTTTTCAATTTCCTTGAATATTCCTTGATATCTGAGGTTGATAATGAATTTAAGTGTAGATTAAAGGTGTGAGAGATAAAAGACACATAGGTGAGTTTTAAGTTAATAGTTAGAATTTCAGGTTGTGTGCTTGAATTACATTACCCATACTGGAAATATAAAGAAAAATGATGGAAGGGTGTTAGTATGTGCATGTAGGAGATACACAATGCTGAAGCTGAAGTGACACAACAATTCGGTAATGAGAAACTGATGGTAAATTGTGGAGTTTCTTGCAGCACCCAGTGGGTCCACGGCTGCTGGAGTTGACTGCGGAGTCTGAAGACTAGTAAACCCAAGGAGCTGGAACATCTTGATGACAGGATTTTTGTTAACTTGCTCAGAGATGAACCTCATGGGGCAAAAAAGGAAGATCCCAAGGAGGCGACAACCAGATAAAAATTACTCAGCTAAACTGTCACCATGCCATGCTACCAACAACAAAATAAATAAATAAATAAATAATAAATAAAAACTACAATCAGCAGAGCTCTATTCTTTTTTGCTCCTCAATAAATCTGGAGGTTTGGGTCAGTTCAGGGCTTCACTCCTTCCCAATGGATGATTTTCTTCTGTCTCTTCAATCTTCATGTGTCTCTCTACAGCAGTTTGCTGGCCCAAACCCAGCAGTAAATATATTTAACATATATGGCTAAAACCACAAGTTATTGAACTTTTTTTTCCAGAAGTAACAAGTACAAGAAAAATAAACAATTGTTATTCTTGAAATATTATTTGTAATTTATGTTAAAAAAATAACATCAATATTCTCTAGAATGATACTTCCTAGAATTAATATAAGACACATACAATGAAATCATTGTTTCCTTTAGAAGCATATGATCACCACAAATTTCATTTTGAGAATGTAATTCTTTTTAAAATTAGAGGAATATTAGTATTGCTAATATTTTGCTGGGCAAGTTTTTGAGAGTGAAATAATTTAATTGTGCAGTAATTGTTTTCCATTGTGAGGAAAAAAATTTGGTTTCTTTGTATAAATTAAAAATTTTCAGTAATTTGGACAAAGCAATGGCACTTTAATAAACTTGAATACATATACCTTATATTTTAGCTTAATTGAGCTTATACTATGCTTCCAGCTTTCAGAATTAGAAACAACCGAAACAGTTCCTTCAAATACTACTTAGTATGTGCAGATTTTCATATATTCAAAAATCACTTTTAAACACAAATTATTTTTTCAATGTATTTTTAAAAGCTAGGGGTGGTGATGTATGCCTGTAATTACATTTGGGAGGCTAAGGCAGGAAGAGTGCCATGAGTTCAAGGTCAGTCTAGGTTATATAATGAGTTAAAGGCCAGCCGGAACTATATAGCAAAACCTTGTCTCAAAAAAAAAAAAAATCAAACAATAAAAAGAATATATCTATAGATATAGATATAGATATTTGACTAAGAATATATATGTGACTAAGAATATATATATGTGTGTGTGTATATACATATGAATATATATACATATATGTAAATTGACGCAATTTTTTGCAAGATTCTTTTCTTGGGGCTCTCCCTATAACAAGAAACAGTATTTAGAAAGATACCTATCTCTGCTTACATTCTTGAATTATAGCATAAAACAAATAAGATAGTGGCATGCACTAATGCTACATTATGCTTTAATGACTTTAAAATTTTTATAATAGAAATTAATTATTGTGGAATTGGATTGTTGGATGGGAACTGAAGTATGGAATGAACATTTTAAGAAATAAAATTTTGTGAAGATGAAAAGACAGAAATCAGATTGTTCTAGAAACACAATGGGTAACCATTTGCCTGACCCATTTTCAGGAAGCAAAAGATAGACAATGTAGATATATTTCCCGAAGTCATGGCCAGAACTGAAAAATGGCAGATCATGTAGCAAAATTTGGACCAATTAGTTTACACTAAAATTTTTACTTTGTCTTGAGTGAGATGGGAAGACATAAACTTGATATGTTTTTACTTTGCATTTTAATACAATCCTTAAGGCTGTATTGAAATAAATTAGAGTGATGACATAAGCAGAGAGACTAGATGACTGCAGACTGTGATACTAGAAACAAATTCAAGTAGTGGCATGTTCCAAGTCGGCAGGAATGGAAGTAGTGAGGAGTGTTCAGATATTTTAAAATGTAGAACCAATAATACCTTCAAAGGATTGAATGCTTGATTGGAGAAGGAGAAAAGGAAAACAAAAAATAATGTTTGAGCCTCTAGTAAAATTATTTTCTATTCTCACATGGGATGTGTATGGGTGCATATTTCTATGTGGTGTGTGTGTGTGTGTGTGTGTGTGTGTGTGTGTGTGTGCTCACACAGAACACACAGAAAGCAGAAATTGTGCAGAACTGATCACCAGTTCAGGCTGAATAAGGGATTACATTTGACCTGGATAAGGCCAGTATGATCTGAATCATACTATTAGAACTTCTCATACCATGGTGATTTTATTGAGCAAGATGTCATGAAACCTGGATTTGTTAGTGATCCATATGGGACAGTCTACAGGAAGAAGAGGTTTGAAGAAGGAAGTTAAGCTCAGAAGCTCAATAAAAATACATTAAATATTCAATTTTATATGCCATGATAATGAAGATGATGAGTAGGAAGTTATATGTGTATCTGTGGAGTTCATGAGAAAAATTCAGAATGGAGTTAGATATTTGGAAATTTTCATCACAGAGGTCATTTTTAAAGCCATATGGGTGGACAAGATCACCGATAGGTATGACAGGAAGACCATCCAATAAGGTCAGAAGCATATTCACATAAATACTTTAAAATTTTAAATATAGAGAGATGAATTAGAACTAGGAAATAAAAAATAACTACCTATGCTAGAAGCAAAAGCTAATAAGCTAGTGACAATGTTTCAGGAAAGGAGTCAAGAAATCAAGTCAAGAAAACTATATTATAACTGAAATTGACATTAGTTTTTATTATTTTATATTAGCAATACAAGTAAAATCTGGTTGGTTGGTCAAATAATTCAGATAGAACCCAAGTGGACTGGCTTTTGGGTTAAGGAAAGTAACTGAAGAAAGTGTTCATAACACTTTTAAGAAATTTTCTCTAAGAGAAAGACCAAGGGGTTGGGACAAAGTGTTATTAGATAAATATCGAAGCGATATCAAGGCATTTTTTTGGATTGTATTTCTTTTAAAGACGAGGGGAAAATAATCACAAACATTTGAGTGCTAGCAGCAATAATCCAGAAGTCATATTCTTTAGGAAATAAAATTCTTGGTGCAGAGACAGCAAAATCCCTCACACATTTCATTGAAGTTGCAAAGATAAGCAAATTTGGAGGGATTCGTATCAATGTCTAACTTTTAAACTAAAAATTTAAAAACTGAATGATAGAGCAGAAGCAAAAATCTAGATTTATAGTATAGCCATGTGTTGTTTAAAAACAGGGCTATATTTTCCATGTGTCTTGGGATGCTCTTGATGGTGTGCAAACAACATAGACTATCCTTACACACCTATGTTGTATAGCCAACTAAACAGCTGGTCTCTATAGGAAAGCCTGTTGCTTCTAAGCTACAAATCTGTACAGCGCTTTACCATGTATCCATTGGGCAACTGTAAGACTGGTACTCATGTATCTAAACATAGAAACAATACACTAAAATATTAACAGATAGGAATTTTTAGGTCCATTGTAATCTGAAAGGACCTATGTCATACTGTTCATTTACTGACGAAAATAGGATTATATGGTGCACAACTATTTTTCTTGAGTAACTAAGAGTTTAGACAATCCTAGCATGAAAAGAATTGACTAATCTGAGCAGAAAAGTGTCTACATCATTTAGATGCAAGTGTCTCTGTGTGTGTCTACACAGAGATAGTCATTCTCAAATATATCCACCTAATGAATAACAAACCAAGAATTTGAAAACAAATTTACATGACGCCAACTTCCTTTGATTATGCATCTGTTCTACTAGAAGGAAATCAGGGAAAATACAACTTCACTCGAGCCATCAAACTGCCTATGATTTCACTTGACTTTGAGGAATGGGTAAGGCAATGGAGAAGGAAGAAGAAGAAAAAGCAGTGAAAAGACAGTTGTATTTCTGTATATCTACAATCAATAGGGCTGGGGATTTAGCTCAGTGGTTCTGACACCTGCTTTGCAAGCACAAGAATCCAAGTGTGACTGCTGGTACAAAACAAACAAACAAAAAATAACCCATACCTAGTATGGCTGAGTGTGTGTGTGTGTGTGTGTGTGTGTGTGTGTATGTGTACTGGAGATCAAACAAACTCAGGTCCTTGCTCTTGCTAGGCACGTGGCAGAACCACTGAGCTAAATCCCTGGACCCCATGTATATAAACACATAAAATGTATGTATGTATGCATGTATATATACACATGTATACATGCATACATGTTTATACATATATATTATTTTTATCTGCTGCTTTCTTTCCTAAATGTTTTTTTAAATTCTTTATAAAGATGACTGTTTATGTTTTCGGCAAGTGGATGTAAATGTATTTCTGTGGCTAACAATTTTCTGAAAAAGACATTTTGTTAAAGAGAAATTTCATGTGGTTTAATTTGAGTTCATTACAAAAAATAATCAGAGGAAGTGTGACCTATTCTTGCTACAACAATGAAAAAATTTAAAAAGTTATTTTAAATAATTTCATATGATGTGCAGAATGATTTCGCAAGTAAATCCATGTCCTAACCCTTGATACCATAAATATGTTATCTAAACTGACACAAAGGAATAAAACTTGCACAGGGAATTCAACTTATTAGTGACTTTGAATAGAGAGATCATCCTGGTTAATCCATGCAGACACCATCTAATCATTGGAATCCTTAAAACTGGAAAAGACTAAAGCATCCATAAAAGAGATGTCAGTGTAAAGAAATGTTCAATGCATTTGGCTGCTTCTGAGGAGGGTGTGCTATGCCCAGAACTGGAGCGAAGCCTCTAAGAATTAGTGTCCCCAGCTAAGGGCCATTAAGGAAACAAAAACTCCAATCCTATAAATATAAGTAACTGAATTTCACCAAGTCAAAAAAGCAAGGAAATGAATTCTCCCCACCAAGTTTCTGAAAATAACAACACTTCCAGACACCACAACCCCATTGTGGATAGACCCACACTAAGCTTTTTCAATACAATTAATTTGTTGTGAGTCATGGAATGTGTAGCAACTTGTTAAAGATCAGTAGAACTCTGATGCATTATCCCTGTATTTGTGTGTGACTTTCATAGTTTCATTATACCTTGGAACAGTTATAAGATTTAATTTATGCAAATCTTATGCTGGCACAGTACTTTTAGAACACAAACTCTAGCATCTGTCTATAGTCAACATACTTATATATACATTATGATAAAAATTCACACTGTTTTCTACTTACTGTCTTTAAATATAGGCTTATTGTCATTAATATCTGAAAGTTTAATTAATACACTTGCTGTTCCAGACAGTGCTCCATGCTGTCCAATCATGTCTTTGGCTTGAATAATTAACCAGTACTCATCTTGTAGCTCTCTGTCCATTTTAGAAGATATTCTTATGATTCCTTTAAAACAGAGCAAAATTCCACTATACAATCCTTCTTTTACTGTATATCGAACCACTACACAGTGATGTTACATTTTATCCAGACCCTGGAATGCCTTTCCAATCTCTCTTCCCTTTGGCTGTAGGATCAGTGCAGCATTTTGGTTTCATTGTGCTCTGCCTTGAAACACAATCATAATTTTGTCCTCACTTTTTTTCTCATGCGTCTTTTTGTTCCAATTTAAAAGTACACCTTCAATGTATCCATTTACTAGTATTCATATGCTTGCTATCTGTGAGTTCCAAGAGTGAAAGTTTCATGCTTATGTTTGGTTTTCTTAGTTGTTATTATTTTAAGTATTGTACTATTATGCCTCTAAATATCCAGTATACTTTTTTACCTGATATATATATATCCTTTCTCAATCAGGACTGTGTGAAAAATTTAAAGAGCAGTGTGTGGGGGTATTGTTTTTACCCTAATGTGAATTGAGCCCAGGACATTCACACTGAGCTACTATGTCACTAACTTGCCCAGGATGAGTTCCATTTTCCAATCCTCCTGCGTTAATCACCGAGAGGACTAGAATGTCCCACTGGTCCTGGCTAAGCCTTAATATTTTAAAGCATTTACTGCATGTAATAAAATATCCTTCCTGTGCATAAAAAATAATAAAATGTGTGCATTATCCTTGGCAAAGTTTAGAACATAGGAACTCATCACATTCATTAAAATATGACTTTCTCAACAACTCTTAATTGGGAAAGGCTGAGACCATTAGCATTTAATGAATAAATAAGAAATATTTAAAGATTTAAATACTATTTAAATATTTAAAGATTCAATGAAATACTTTAGTTATTTAAACCTCTCTTATCACAAGTTGAAACTATTTATTTCCAATAACAACCACAGAAATTGTAATTTTGTAATTTTTATATTTTTAAATAATCAGTTATGACATCCTTTCATCTTTAAATACCATTAGCTCCTAAATACATGACTCATTAAAGTTTAACCTTGATTTTGTACACAATAAAAAGTATTAAAAAATGTTGTTCTACAAATTGTATGTATTCATTATATATTTTTGATAGAGAGATAAATTATGTTTTATATTTGTATTAAAGAAGCACTGACATAATCAAGTATAGCATTTGTATAAATCAAAATATATAACATATAGGACTTTTTAAAGTGAATGGCTCATAGCAATTCAATCATCTGGCCTAATGTTTATGCTTAATCTCATTCATCTTGTTTGATATGAACATATATCTCACTATAATTTTAATTTATATGTCCATATTGACTAATGTGGTTAAGAGTTCTTTTGCACATTCCTATTTTTTATAATTGTTTGAAAATGTCTTTTTTTTTTGTATTCTTCAGTTGGGCTGTCTCTTTTCTAACTGATTTTTAAGAATCCTTACATATGTTTTAAAACATACGTAAATCATATGAAAATGTCAAAGGAAAATCCAATTTCTATTCTTACAAAACATCTTAAATTCTAAGGGTAATTAAATGTTTAAGAATTAATGCCGATTCATTGATCTAATATTTAGGTCTAATGTAAAACATGTTTCTCAGTAGATAATATTTGCTGACATTTGCCTACTTTAAAATGAGATTAAACTGAATTTTATCTCATTTATAAATACCTGTTGTTGGTTCAACAGAAAAATATGGCTGCCCTTGCAGTAAGCTATAGAGGAGACGAGCATTATTGCCACTGGCGGGGTCATCTGCATCACTTGCTGTCACCTGAGTGACAAATGTGCCTGAAGAGAACAAAACGTATTAACAGGAAATTAAGACTTTTACTTGGTTCAATATTGAATTCAATTTTGTAAAGCACTCTTTAGTTAGTCAATAAGTTGATGATGTAAAACAAAATCACACTTTACTTCCTGTTCTGAAAATACAAGAGTAATGTTTTTTTATGAAAAAGGGATTACACCCATCATCTATTCTAGGCAAGAACTGATCCATTCCTACCTACTTACGGAAATGTTTAAAACATTTTATTTCAATAGAAAAATGTGCTTTGGAATTTTAAATCATGAAAATAGTTTTGATTATAAGATATTCTAAGAGATTTGAAGGAATAGAACATATATTTTTCAATTAAAATATACACTTATATATTGCATGTTCATACACAATTTGTGCTATCTCCAAGGAATGGCTGGGATGGTAAGTATCTACTAAATGTTTATGCACTGAAAGGCTGGCCCAGGCTGATCGTGTTTTGGGGAGTCACGGAAACTCTAGCAGGTGGAACATGATTGGAGGAAGCGCATCCCTGAAGAGTGCACTTTATTCCTATCTCTTACTCTCCCCTTGCCTCTTGTCTCTCACGAAGTGAGCTACTACATTACACCGCATGCTCTGCCCTGGGAAGTTCTGCTTCGCCATGGGACCAAAGCAAATGTACCATTGATCATTATTTGAAACCTCAGAAACCATAAGCCAAAATAAACATGCCCTTCTTTAAGGTGTCTTTCTCAAGTATTTTGCTACAGTAATGGAAATAGCACAGTTTATCATATATACTATATAGGCCTAAATATGTCACATATGCATTATATCTATTATATAGCCTAAGATAAATAATCTAGATAATTGTTGAAAAGGATCTAACATAGATTCTGAAAATTATGCAACTATAATTCCACATAAATTAAGTGAAAATTCAATAGCACAATTTAAGTTTTAATGGAGTATGGGCCAGTTGAGTTCATTACATAAATAAAAGGTTGTTTTAAAATTATGATATTATATTATTATGATATATCTTGATGTTATAGTATAATACATTTAGATATTAATGAAACAAAAAAGTAAAATATAAAAAATTAGACAAAAAACATACATAAAAATACTTGTGTTTCATTTGCAGTAAAAAGAATATTTTATATAAAAGGTGACTATATACGATAGTAGACTTAAAAAATTTTTACAGCAATCATATTTATTTGGGAATTTAAAACTTTCTCACTGAAATAAAAAAAAGAAACTATTTCCTATCATAGGTAAGTATTTACTAAACTTAGTACAATGAGGTAATATATTTTTATGATGAAATATATTGTAGTGGTGCATGCCTGTAATCCTAGCACTTGGGAGGCTGAGGGAGGAGAATCCCCACAAGTTCAGAGCCAACCTGGGCTACACAATGAGTTCAAGGCCAGGCCGGGCAACATACGGAGACGCTGTCTGCAACCAACACACAACCAACAAAAAAGGATATATAAAGAAAATCAATAAAATTATATTAATTAGAATGATTTAAAAGAAAGTATAATTTGTTAATTAATTAGTTTCCAGAGCAACATTATATTAGTAAATCTAGACAGGGCAACAGAAATGAATAATCCAGGCTGGATAGATATATGCACATTGACTTTCCTCACCATTCACTCCTACACCATACTGTAAGACACCATCCTGTAATTAGAATTATGTATTTTTGGGTAATTCTTAACATTTTGACTTCTTCAGTTCACTGAAATCAAATCAGTAAGGAATTGCAGACAGTGAGAAAAATCTTTCTGTGGGTGACCTAAATACCAAAGGTCACCAGGCATCTCTGACTGGGGTCACTAAGGCTTGATCAGTCCTTGAACTACAGGAAATTCAGAGCCAAAACAACTGGACTCCTAAGCCTAAGGATCCTCTTACATCAATGTCTATTCTGTTAGATTAACAAATGTGGAAATAGAAAAAAAAGTTTTTTCAAGGGAGGGCAGAGGTAAGGGGAAAAAATTAGAATCAAGACTTGTCATGCAGAGGTACAAGATCCCAACAATGAATGTAACTGTACTGTATCCCTAAAATGTAGCAATAAACTCAATTAAAGCTGAAACAAAACAAAAAAAAAAAGAAAAAAAAGTTTTTTCAATCATATGGCATTAAGAGTAATCTACCAATCAATAAACTTTCTCTCTAAATAAAAATAAATATAGAATGAATACAATAAATCTGTTATATTTTATATCTATATCTAGCGTCCTTTGCCTGTAACACTATTGAGAATCTTTTAATAAATGTAAGTTTAAATTATTCATTATGTGTTTGTAGCTAGTTCCTGAATCTTTACATTTATCTATTACAAAAAGTTTTTGTGAAATTAAGTTTAATGTGACATTTGGTTTTGACCATTTAATTATTTACAGTGGAGAAACTTATGAAGGAAACACAGGTTGTAAACTTGTCCCAAGTACTTCAGTGAAAAGGCACAACGTAGTGTTCTCTGGAAACTGCTTTGTTGATATATTCATTAATTTATTATGAAACACAGAAAATTATAATGAGGCAACTGTATGTTAATATGAGGTAAAATACTTATTATATATGTGAATTTACATCTAAGTTAGATTGTTGTGATAGCATTACTAAATGTTTTAACATGTAATGATACATAAAATATTTGAAGAAAGTACTACTAATATTTTTCAGACTTATTTTGTTCTCACTGAGCAAAACCTGATGAAGGAAATGTGTAACGCTATCAGAGAATGCTGAGTAATTTGAATTTTATTATCATCTAGGAGTTCTACTGAACACTGAATGATTTTCATCCAAATGTTAAGCTTAACATTAGTAATAAACTTGATTGTGTGATGTTGTCTCATCTCACATAGAATCCTTTATCCTCCAGCAATTATGGGAGCCATCCAAACACAAAAACATTAAAGAGTTATAAATCTTTATGTACAGACTAATTTAGATATCATAGAGAAAATAAGAAACTCAGCAACCGGTGGCAAGGTCATTTTGTAATTAAAGCTTACATTGATTACAGAGCACTAAAGTAAACACGTGTCCATAGTTTATCTTAGTGTTTCTCTGCAGAGATTCAAACTATAGATTTCAAAATAACTCATTTATTTTAGTATGTAATATTTTCTTGGCTTTAAATTCAGTACTATGAAATTTAACAAGCCTTTCTTAGCATGAAGATAGAGATTATCTAATAAGAAAGCTGTCTTAAAACATTTTTAGAAGTGCATTTTGACTAATCTGAAATAAATTTCTTGAGACCCAGATTTGTACCTTTGTTTTTACCTACAATCTAAATCTGTGATTTCGGTAATATTGAAACAGATAAAAGGTGAGATAGATAATCCTATGATCAAACTGAGTTTCATCACACCTCTGTTCATTCTTAAAGAGATCAGATTTTATTTATTTATTTATTTAGTTAATTTATTTTTTAAAATTTTGGTACTGGGGATCAAAGTCGGGACCTTGTGCTTTTGAGGCAGGCAGTGGCACTACTGAGATAAATCCCCGGTCTGAGATCTGATTTTATTAGTGTAAAGATTGTTATTTATTTATAAGCCCTGATGGTTCCATGATTTTTGCATTTATTTTATATACAATTACTTTATCACTTAGAACCTTGAGTGCAACTCTAAAACTAAATGCTATTTCCTATTTGTCACCTTAACAACTATGCAAATTATTCTTCACTATATTTCTTTTTGTACCACATCCACCTGGAAACTAGGCCACTGGTATTATTTTGGTTTATATTAGCACCTGTACTTTTCAGAACCTGATACAGTAGAACTTAAGTCAAACAAATTAATCTGTTTTTAAGAAAGCTTATCAGAAGGGATAAGAAAAGTAATTTGTCATAGTTTAGCTCATGTGTCTAAAGGAATAAAATTCTTGAAATCTTATTTTTGAATCTGAAGAATTTCAATGCATAAAGATTTCTATTTTCCTAAGAAATGGTTGAACTTATTTAAATTTGTATGCATTTTATATTAGGTTGAATTTAAACTGTTCTTATAACACTGGACTGACATACTTGTACCTTATTGATGACAGATTAGTAAAGTGAATCCTCTGTGTGACTATGCTAAATAATATGATCAACAAAAATACTGAAATCTTTCTAATGTTCAAAAGGTTGTGCCAGGGCTGGAGATTTAGCTCAGTGGCACCGCCCCTGCCTTGCAACTGCAAGGTCCTGAGTTCAATTCTCAGTACCTCAAAAAAAAAGGAAGAAAAAATAAAGAAAAAAAAAAAAGAAAAAAAAAAAAGAAAAAAAAAAAAGAAAAAAAAAAAAGAAAAAAAAAAAAGAAAAAAAAAAAAGAAAAAAAAAAAAGAAAAAAAAAAAAGAAAAAAAAAAAAGAAAAAAAAAAAAGAAAAAAAAAAAAGAAAAAAAAAAAAGAAAAAAAAAAAAGAAAGAAAGGGATGTGCAAAGTGCATGCTGCTATAAAAATTCATTGTGTTATACTTAACTGGTAAAGGTGCAAAGAGTGGGGATAGAAAATATAATTACTACTAGTCAATTCTTCTTCCTTTCTCCGAGTAAAAAAAAAATATATAAAACTAAGTTTACAGGAATCATACTTTAAATTTTCTTTTTATATAGACATATACACATATATGTAATAGTGTCATCTGTATGGCAAGATCTTGTCTTAAAAAATAATTAAGCATATTTTTGGTAAAATAATTCAAGTTTAATGTTGAGAGAAACAGAAACCATAAAAATTGTATTAGTTTCTTTACTTCAAATTAAAGTAATGCGGTAATGGTTCAGAGGAAAAATGTTGGTAGAAACACATAGAGAACAATAGGAATATTCTCCCATTTACAAAATTGTAGACTATTTTGTGATAGCCACTGCCCATCACTATGTTGGCTTCCTTCTTCCATGGAAAGTTGTAAAATGGCCTATTGTTTTCATCTGTAAAAACGTTGAGCCCCGACTGGCACATTTGGGGTATCTACTGAATCACCCAGTTAACTACATAATTTGTACAGGCACTTCAAATTGGAATGAAAAGAAATGTGCAATAACCAGATATTGCATAAACTAAATCATATTTTTGAACCTCTTTCAATCTTTTGCAGTGATGAACTTGGACACAATGTTACTGATACTCTAATTGACTAATCCCTCTGTAGTCTTTGCATTCAATTCTGCAAAATAGCTGTTTTGTATCCCTTCAATATAAAATTCTATTTTTTTGTTCTAGTCATAGATTTTATGTCATACTTTATTGACAAAATAGAAACAAACACTTAGCAGCTAATTTTTAGGAACCAATATGATAATATGCTTAAATGTGTCCCACCTATAAGTGCTTGGATTTTATGACATTCTTATTTTAAGTGTAGTCATATACTAAATTCCTTATGTTGTGCTTCAAAATATTTATCTGTTGAAATATTGCTTGGTACATACCTATTTCATTAAATATCTCATTTTTTAACTTTTAAAAATATAATAATTATACATATTTGCAGGTACAGTGATGTTTCTAAACATACATACTATTTGAAACTACTAATTTATGTAGGTAACTTTTGAATTCTTATCATTTGGTAAATAAACTATGACTTAGTGATGAACTAAAAATCCTCCTTTGACTTCATTTTCCTTTTCACAGTGCCTCTTTTGATTTCCCTACAGTAGAACACTTTTTAAAATTTGCTAAATTCTTTGTCATCTCTTCTTCCCTTTCCATTTTTGCCATAGAAGAGTCTCCAACATATTACAAAAGAAAAATTCAACCAAACTGTTCTTAGCAAAATCACCAGGGGTTTTCAACTTGCCAAATCCAATCACTCATTTACCTCAATTTTATATAACCTCACAGCAGCCTTGTACATGGCAGAAGTGTCTCTTCTTTTGTAAAATTGTCTTTTTCTTACATCACTGGAAAACCCCATTCATTTGCCAGCCAATCCTTTATTAAATTAAACAAAAATACTAGTACATTCCTGCAGTGCATGCAGTTTATAATTATCTTGGGGAGTGGGTATGTATAGGTACTACAGCTTGCTTTCCTTCTCTTTAAATCTCCAACCCTGCTTATTTCTTTTATAAAATATCCTTCCCCATTTCTCCATCCTCCCTCCCTCCTCTAATTCCCCTATACCAAATTTCGTTCTTATTGATTTTATTAATTTCAGCTCATGCTATGGCATATAATGTTTACTTTCATCAAGGTTAATGAGTTTCCATGCATGGAATATCTTTCTTTTACATTTTCCCCCTTCCCTTCCTCTTCACCTCTTGCCTTGTTTTCTTGTACATCTTCCTTATTGCAAGGGATCCATTCCCCACACACCAGCTTAAAGATGGTATGATATCTCTCTTTCAAGTGAGGCAAAGCACAAACAAAGGAGTAATGAAGAATACATGGAAGGGAAAAAGAAAATGGATCTCTTCTAGTCTTGTTTTGATTAACAATAGAGTCAGCCTGAAATATGTTTGTCTTTTCTCCTAGCAGAGTCCCCACCACAGTCAGGCCTTACATAAACTTGCTGCATGTCAGGGACTCCCACATCACTACATAAGATCCTGTTCACTTTATTATGGAAATCTTTTCCTAGAGTATGATATAACTGACCTCCTTTTATCATCACTCCAAAAATGGGCCCTGCCTCTTCAGGCAACTAATCATAATACTTCACTTATACTTTAAACTGTCATAGCATGCATGATTAGTCATGACCCTGTTTATTAAAAATTTGTTATTTGTTCCTTATGTATATAATTAAATGTGAACTAGAAATTAACTCCCATACATCCTTTACAATTTTGTCCTATTTTCAAAGATATATTCCTACCATGGTAGGTCCATAACATGCACTTGATGAGGAAGAAGCAGGTAGGAAAACTAGGAGTATACGGAAAAAGGATTAATCAGTTGTCATATAAGAGGAGACAAACAGAGAGAGAGAGGGAAAAGAAAAACTGATTCTTTGCTTAGCTAACAACTTGGAATAATTTTAAACACATTTTTATATCAACTGATAATGTGTTTTGATACATAATACAAAGGTAAAATTTTTAGGCTGTACTTAAATAATTATATTCTAATATAAAATGACATTTCAAAATTGTGAATGTTAAAAAATGAAATGTTAAAAAATTAAATATAAAAATATATTGTGGATACATATATATTTTAAAGTTGTTTCATAATGAACAAATATTTAACTAAAGCAGTTTTTAAATATTTTACTATAATTTAAAATGATCATTATTGAATCACATTTGTCTAACACAGTTAAGAAACACTAGGGGTTTAAACTATAGTATACATTGTGCTATCAAAAAGTTTTGGCAGACTAAATGAGAGGAAAGTCTTTTACACAAGTGTTTTCCCCAGTGAAATGATATCTTAAGTTTCCAAGGCAGTCAATCTTTACAGCTTATCAAAATTACCCTCTTCTACTTTTACTGTATTTAAAATATTAATAACAATACCATTAGGTTTAAGAAGAAACGTGACTGAAATTCCTCTATGCAGCTATACAGGTATTTACCTAGATTCATTTTTTTTGTCTTTATATAGTATGGTTTTGATGCATATAATTGCTTAGGTTTTATAAATTGGCTTTCTATATTTCATATGTATATTTTATAGAACGTTATCAAATTTGCAAATAAAAATATCTAAACCTTATCGCTCTCAAGTTTGAAGTAAAAAATTAACAACATAGATATTAACACATACAATATTTTACAAAATTTTACGACATAGTTGATTTTTAAAACAATTTACTTAAGCAGGAAGGAAGCACTAATGTAGAATTTAAAACAAGCTACTTCCAAACATATTCTGAATGCTTTAAATCTGTTGTCATTGTTAATATATATGTGAAGTAAATTAATATGTAATACCTTCTGGAGACATCTCGGGCACCATGGCCTCATAGGGTTCATCTAGGAATTTTGGTTCATTGTCATTGATATCCGAAACTCTGATGACAAACTCAGACTCAGGTTCCACAGCCCTTCCAGTGGTGCTGTCTATTACTTGGGCTCTCAGAATGTAGAGGGATTGTTCTTCTCTATCAAGCCTCTGGTTGGCATATATGTCACCTGTGCTGTCGTCGATGTCAAAAATACTTCCAGCTCCAGCTCCCAAAAGTCTATACTGGAAGGAGTTGTTTCCATTATCTAAATCGGATCTTAGCTGCAAACACAAAGAGGGACGAGTGAGTTTCCAGTTATGGTGAAAAGAACAAATCGGTTTTAATTGTTTTGTTTTCATGTATGCTAGTACTTCTAAGTCAATAATTCTATGTAATATTTACAATATATTAAGTCAAGTAAACTATAAACTTCAATATTTAAATCTATCATTAAGAGAAGGGAGAAGACTTTTTTTGTTGTTGTTGTTGTTTTGTTTTTTTGTCCCGGGACCTTGCACTTGCGAGACAGCACTGGGCTGAATCCCCGGTCCTTTCATTTTCAACATACAAATAACTACAGAAACTTTAGTACTCTAAATACCAGAAGATACTTCTAGTGAAAAATATAGTAACTGAAAAAAATGTCTTTTTCATAAATTATGCACAACATACTTGGTTCAAGTTTGTTTTGTGATTTCAGTGAAATTATATTCTAAAATATTTATATTACGGGACTTAGACAAAGTGAGGGCAATAATGAGCTATTTAAAATATATCAACTATTTAATCTCATTTAAACAATGATATTCATTATCTTTGCTGAGAATACATTGAAAACATGGTCATGATTGGAAAAAAAATAAGCAAGCTAATTGGAAAATGATCTCAGCAATCCACTAGGCATTTATTATACAGAAAAATATTCCCAAGTTTCTCTGTATTCAGTCACACCATTAATCACAACATCAAGGCACATATTATTGATGCAGTCAATCATATCTTTAGTAAAGGCAAGGGAGAATGAAATATTTTGAAATTTTTCATTGTCACATGTCTTGGTGTAGATTTATTATTTTAACCAATCCCAGAACCTCGCAAATCACAATTATACTCTTTAGCCTATGAATTTTAATGAAAAATATAAACTCTTGTCTTTCAATAGAATCTATTTACTTCTCAAATGTGCATTTTGTTCTTGTGTTGACATTTTTTTCCTTTTGAAACATGAAAATAAATTGGTTCATCTTTTTTTGTTGATGAATTATTTAGAATTTTAAATTTATATATAAAACTACAAGTTTTACCATGGTATAGTGAATTGATTGTCCCTTTTTCATAGAATAAATTATTTTTATATAAAGAGCTCCCACTTTTTAAAATGACCCCCTCATTGTAGATATACCTTTTATAGATTCATTATTCTTGAGTATGCTTTTTTTTGGTTTGTTTTTGGTACCAGGGATGGAACTCAGGTTCTTGCATTTGTGAGTTGAGTATGCTTTTTAAAGTAAGAGCGCTTCTCAAAGTACAAAGTTAACCATGAAGTAGAATCTTAATTCAGAACTTTCCAATGGCTTGACTTTTAACTTATTATTTTTGACTAACAAATAAAAATTATATGGGATTGTGGAGAAAATCTACTCATATTTATAACAACTAATTTTAAATCTTAATGTATTAAGTATCGGTGCTCCTTAATAAAACAAAAAGAAATCAAAGAAACTAGTACTCAGCTTGAGTTTCTCCTATCTCTCATTTAATTTGGTAATCTTGATTATTCATAAAGAGAAATATTTTGTGTTACAATGTCTAGAAATTAAGAAAAATAAATGTATGTTCCAATCATTGTATCAAATAAAGAATGAATGGTCTATATTTTTAAGGGTACCACATGCATGTGATATAGTATGAGAATTTACTCAGCATTAAAATTATGTTGTTATATTTTATAATAAAAATGTATTATAAGCACAGTTGCTGTATAATTTTCAAAATCAGACAGATTTTAAAAAGTTTGCTTTAATACTTGCCTTTTGAGGTCACAAAATGTATTTGTCAAACACTTTTTTTGACCCTACTAAATATTGTGAAATTTATTATGTTTCTCTTTAAAATATATTTTCTCAATTAAGTAGCCATTTTCAATTTGGCAAACCTGAATCACTTGAAATTTCACTTAATTGTACTTATCCATTTTAACCAGTTTTAACAAACGAATTAAAAGTTAAGTTTTCTTGGATACTACAGTTACATTTTGTCTTTACTAGCTTTTTCATTATGAGCACCTAAATATCCTTTACAGATCTCTATTTTTAAACCAGTCATCTGTATGTTACTGAAGCACACGAAGTTGTTTACAGGACAAAAATCTACTAGGGTATTTCCACATTTTTAAAACGTTTTATCGGTTTGGTATTGTGAATTGAACCTGAGGCCTTCACCCTGAGCGACAGTACATCCCCAGCCCTTTTTTATTTTTTGAGACAAAGCCCCACCAAAACACAAACTTGCCCTGGCTGGGCTGGAAATAGCCCTTGCCATGCTTCATCCTCCCACAGCGCTGGGACTGAGGAGCGCAGAAATGGAAAGCAGCAAAGGACAAAACAGAGACTGACAGTCTCCTTGTTGAGGGTCTCAGGGCTTGTCCTTCCTGCTAAACCCACGGAGGTCACTGTGACCAAAAGGTGAATTGCTGAAGCACCACCTGCCTGTACCTCTTATCTCCCTATGTCTTAAAGACAAACCGCAAAAAAATTACAAAAGCAAAATTATCTCCACCTCCCTTTGCTAAGTTCTGCTTCTGTAAAATTCTGCTCGCTCCCTGCCTTGGCTAAAGAACCGGTAAATATGAGAACAAACTTAGAAACTGGGCTCCGACTCTGGAAGGTGACTTCCACCTGGCCTGCTACGTAGTGAACAAATGTGCCTTTCTCTTCATTTCTCTGAGCACCGCTCTCTTCCTTGGCCCTCCTGCCCTCTGAGTGCCATTTTGGCACCACCATTGTCTTTCAAAAACAGATGCTATAGAATGAAAAGAGGGATAAACAAAATCCATCTACTACAGGAGCAAAATGGAGGGTGGTGTAGGGGGCAGCAAAAATAAAAGCAACTAGAAAATGTGCCAACCACAAAGGCGGCATTTGTTCAAATTACGTGGGTGCACTTTCCTCCAGTCTCATATTTACCAGTTACTTGCTTGTCACCCTGTGTAGTGACATCCTGTGAAACTCATTGCAAACGTGATTAGCACGGCTCAGATATAACTATCAGGAACTTAATGGCAGCTACATTTTTGTGATCTGTGCCCATGCTTTACCTACAGACATCTTAAAAAATTATATAGGAGGAGAAGTAATGTTTGTAGCAGGCGTGCACACACATCTACAAACTAGTGTTTCGCAATCCATTTGCCCAATAGTTAAGTATTTGGTTGAATGTACTCATATACATTTGGCTGAAAAGATAAGTGAAATTCCATGGAATCTGGACATCGTCCTAACTACAGCAATTTTGAACATGCTAGGAAAAGACACTTAATAAATACTGAGTACTTTGCCCTTCGGGCCCAATTTAATTTTAATGCAAATTAATTAGCGATTAAACTTATTTCAGTTCATTCATCTAGACAAAGAGCCTCCTGGAAAAGGAAAAAAAAAAGACATGATATAGTAATCACCTATGTTTTTAAAAAAGCAAATAATTATGAAAATCAAAAATATAAATAGATCATCTCCCAAAGAAAACTTTCTGAAAATGCATTCTTCTGAAAATGAAAATAATTATCCTTTGTACTTCAACTTCTCGAATCAAATGAAATATGTAAGCTCTTGAAGCTCCTTGGATGTAAAAGGATATTGTATTAATTTGCTTCTGTAAAAATGAATGAGAGGTTGATCAACAGCTACTTAACAGAAAATCAGGGTATTGTTGGTAAATAGTATTTGACTCCATATGGCTTCTTTGACCAATTACCAAAAAAAAAATTTAAATTTTCAGAAGCTTGTAAATGATGCTAAAGGATGCACAAAGGATGCTAAAGTAAAATGTGGAATCTAGTAATTTCTCTCTTCCTCTTGATTTTAATGACTATTTAAAGTGCTTCCAAATCTGTAATTTCAGCTTATGTTTGAGGTTTCAACATTCATGAGGAAAAATAAAAAGAAAGGAAATCATGAAACAGTAAGACTTCGCTAACTCATTTGTGTGAAGTTGTTACAGTGCCCCTTAGTAAAACACTTTCAGAAAATAAGTACCCGTCCAATGAGATGCCTAGTTGTGTTCATTTCCTCTGGTACAAAAAATTGGTTCCACACCCAGCCACGTTTCACTCTCAAATGATATCCCGCTGGTTGCTTAACCTTCTCAGTTTTATACTTTTCTGTTGCCTTAAGACAAGGCCATAGGAGAGGAATTCCCAGCATAAAAGGTAGGAAGATACCACAATCCATTCTGATGTCTCTGGATTCCAGCTGTTACTCTTCATAGGAAACCGGATGTTGCCAACAAAAATCTTGTGTTCCTTTATATCTTTTGTATTTAAAATTTAAATATCTTTTACATTCCTAAAGCATAAGAAAACAAAATTTGATATTTAAGAAATAACATTTCTTACATAATTGCTAAAGACAGGTAACAACTTCTGCATCTAAGACAAAGTAGAATAAGAAGCATATATTTAATTTATCTTCCCATTAAGTGACTCAATTATATTTTGTAGCTCGCCAGTAATTTAATTGGAATAATTACAAATTTCTGCTCAGGCATCATTTGTTTTAAACTGCAGTCATAAATCTGCCTGAAGGTTGAAAAGTTATTGGAGCAGTCTCCTTGATTGACAGCTGACACTGACATAGAATTTTTATTATCATTTAATTTGCTTACTTCCTCTTTTTGTCCTAGTAAAAAACTCAAGGTAGATTGTTAAAGTAATAGTCGAGCAAGGAGAAATAAAAGTCATACGTGTCTCTTTTTTTCACTCAATAGAACTAAACTTTCTCTCTTATATTCACAAAATGTGATATCTTATGCAGTTGAATAGACAGAATAAAATATTAGGAGTAAAAACTGATATTTAATAATCAATTAGATTAAAATATTCTGACTAGACTTTCTGTACAATGTTTTTACTTTTTTTATAATTAGATATGGAAAAGAAGCATTTATCTTAAGGAAGTAAAGACATTTGTAGACAATAAACACAGAAGTATGGTGTCTGGGGGAAAGGGATCAATGTTTATAGTACGTAAGATGGATATAAAACTATCTTCTACTACTTAAATATTAAAACACAAAACAGACATACTGAGTTTTACATTTTACATTTACTTTTTGTCAGTACCCAGGATCAAACTCAGGCCCTTGCATGTGCGAGGCAGGCAGCAGAGCCACTGAGTTAAACCCCCGCCCCAAAGTTTTACATTTAAAATCTCCCATTTACTTAAGGGAGAGCTTACCAATTGTCTCTCTCAGGATTGGTAATTCTCATCCTTATATGTAATTGAATAGCTTTGCATTTCCTACATCAACACAGTACATACATAAAAGCAAATGGAGTGTATTTCTTTGGCTTTCATAAAGAAAAATAATTCAGTGAATTCCACAGAATCATTTACTACCACGTAATCAACAGCAAAGCCATAGGATCTTGAGTTAGAAGTTTCTTTGCATAGTCTTCTTTTGAATATGCTGAAAATATTTTATGAACATCTCTTGACAGAATGTTTTTAGAACTTGTGCTCTTGTTAGGAAGAGTCATTTAAAAACACTAAGAAAGAACTCAGGAATGCTGTGTTCCTTCTGTAGTCTCTTGGAGCGGATGTATTCTAGTAATTTTCTTAATGAAGAGATTCAGAAGAAGGTGAAAATTCAGGATGAAATTCATCCTTAAATTAAATATTTTAAATGCATACATCTATTATTTAAATGTTACTAAAATATGTATTTTGGTAACTAATTTTTAATTTTATTTATGAAAAATATTTTTATAAATTTGGAAAACTATACTAGTGCTGATATGAAAAATATGTGTTATATTTTAGCTGATAACATTTCTGTTGACTTATAACAATATTCTCATATAGCTATAATTAGACAGTATAATGAAAACATATGCTTCACTACCTAGTTTTAAAAATTACCAATATATAAGCTTGGCATGGTGGTGCACCCCTGTAGTCCCAGCACTCAGGAGGCTGAGGCAGGAGGATTGCTGTGAGTTCAAGACCATCCCTGGCTACATAGTGAGTTCTGGGTCAGTCTCAACTACACAGTGAGACCCGGTCTCTAAATACCCCCCCAATATAATCAATCTCATATCATCACATGTGGGCGCACTTACTGATAGTAAACAAATTTCAAATGTCAATAATTTTAATAATTTAAGACACATACATACATACACACACACACACACACACGCACACACACATACCATAAAGGCTCCATATTTGGGTGTATGTACACACTTTAAAAATGAAAATTGGCCAGGTGTTGTGGAGATGCCTGTAATCCCAGCATTGAGGAAGCTGAGCCAGGAAGACTGCTTCAAGTTTGTGGCCAGATTGAGTTAAATGGTGAATTCAGGGCTACTATAAAGTGAGACCCTATCCCAAAAACCAAAAGGAAATAAAGTAAAAAGTCAAAACCAATCATTGAAATTACAAATACATTTTCATATACTAAACTATTCATCAAGTGTCATTCAGTGCATCGGCTTTCTCATTCTCTTTTTTTACTTTACTTTCCAAATATATAGTGAACAAAGTCATTTGTTTCCGTCGTGTTTTCTGCATTCTGGATTTGGATAACTGGATCATTATGGCGTGATTTGATAGGGTTCCTTATCTAATATACTTCACAAATATCGATACAGGTTTGATTAGTTGCAAATTAAAATATGTCAAAGTCACTGCAATGGTAATATGTAGCTCCTATTCCCTGTCATCCTGAAGCTCAAAATTACATAAATCATTTTATATTTTGTGTCTAACAATATGGAGATCAATTTTGATACTACTATTTATTGGTAGATTAATATATTGCCAGCAGATTCATTTATTATGAATTGTCTAGCCATATCGTTTTAAAAATTTACAGATTTGGATATTCATTGCCTAAGTTGAATATTTCAGTGACTACATAGTAAAATACAGTAATAAGAATGAACCGTTTAATAACATAATACTTGAAAAAAAATCACATGTTGATTTTATGAAAATATTAAACGATGAAGAAGAAAATACCTTTGGCTTTGAAACACTTCAGCTGAGACTAACCTAAGTGCAACAAGGAAACCAATGGTTGCAAAATAATTTTTTAAACAGTAAAGAATTTCACTATTTCATGAGAATATCTATCTACATAATATATAATAGAAAATATAATATACTATTATGAGATAATCTATATCTTAGGATCACATAAGGAAAGGTGGGAAATATTTTTTAAAAGAGAGTAAGTTTTCAAAATTTATATGAGAAAAATATCTCCCCCCAAATAACAACAAATACTAAGAAAAGTGAAAACAACAAAAATAACGTGATAAGTATGTTAAAGTATGTTGAAATAAAATAAAAATGTAATATAAAGAAAAACCTTAAAATCAGTATTGAAAATCTAAAAAATAACGATGCCCATTCAATATTCATTAGAAGTAATGCAAAACTAATGACAGCAGGTAGCATACTTGAAATTTTCAGAGCAAAACTTCTAACCTATAATTATATTTTCTACAGAATCAGAGCCATATAAGGGAAAAATGGGAGTGTTTAGCAGCAGCAAGAGTTAAAATTATCTTCAGCTGGTTCTCATTTTTTACCCTTGTACCTGCCCTAAAATGTACCAATAAACTCAATTAAAGCTGGGAAAAAAAAGCTTTAAAAAAAATCTTCAACTGAAAGACACATGCACCTACAAAAAGTAATAATGGATAAATATTAATTATGTAAATAAAATAAAAGGCTATTATACTTATTAATGGTTTTGAAAACTGAGCATGCAATAACATGTTATGGGATATAAAGAAACAAAATTCAAGATGATAATGGGACATGGAAGAGATAGCAAGTGGAAATGCGTGTACTTGCTTCTTACATTATGTATAAGATTATGTAACAGTAATTCCACTAGACTACTGTGATAAAATGCACATTTAAATTACTAGAACAGTAACAACAAAGAAATAAAAAATGTACAGAGAAATAATATTAATACTTTATTAACAGGACAACATATGGAAAGTTGGAAGAAACCATGAATTCAAGTTGTATGGCAGGAATTACAAAATTAACCACACTGTTAGAAAGGAACTAATGAAACTTCATGAATACAAAGTAGAGGTTGGTAGATAACCAGTCAAAATTTAACCCAACTATGTACTCTACAATGGGATATACTTTAATTATATATAGAGATAGATTAGAAGAAAAATGATGAGAAGAGGTATAAATAAAAATCATATCCATTTCCCATCATCCATCATACATTGAAATGGGAAGAATGTGTTCAAACGGAAAGGGGAACAAGGAAAGAGGTGGAGAGAAAGGAAGGAACAAAAAAAAGTGAAAATAGAAGGACAAATGGAAATGAAGCTTCTTAACTAGGGAGGGGAGGGTACTTGGGGGAATGGAGTAAAATAAAATAAAAATTTAAAAAAGCATACAAGTTAGCTGAAGCAGTATAACTATTTCAAGTAAACCTTGTAATAAAGAACATCTCATGAAATAACAAAGAATATTTACAAAGATAAAATAAATATATTCATTGTAAGGTCTAACAGTCCTTAACTTCAGCAAATGTATTATAGAGTTTAAAAATACATGAAGCCAACTTAAGAGAAGTCAGTAAAAGTAGTAAAAGGACAAAAAAAAAATAGAATAAGCTCATTGTTCGAAAACATCCATAAAATTAATGAATAATTAGCCAAGGTGAAGGAAAACATGAACAGGTGGACTAAATTAATATTAAATGAAAAGAGAATAATTGTATGTTTTCTACAAGTTTTAAAAGGGTATAAGAGAATAATACTGTGAAAAAATTTGATGATATATTTGACAACTTAGATGAAACGTAAAAATAAAAATTATTAATCTGTTATAAAAAAATTTAAATGGCAACTGCACTTTTACTAAATATATTTTGTATAATGCATATTTTAAAAGATCCATACCCACAGAGATATTATAATACATAAAATAATAAATAAATAGTACCGATCTTACACAAATTCTTCCAAAAGACAAAGAGGAGTCAACATACCCTACTAATTTGATGAGGCCATAAAACACAGTTAACAAGAGTAGATAAGAATGTCAATTTTAAAACAGCAATAGGTCTCATAAACATAAAGGCAAAAATCCAGAAAAAATAATTGCAAATTAATCCATGTTGTGTTTCTTCCTAAAAAAGAAATGTGTTTTATAAATGTGATTTATATAAAGAATGGAAAGGTGGTTCAATTTCAGATTTAAATCAGTAGAATCCTGCATCAAAATGATGGGGGAAAGTTATATAATCTCAATGGATGTAAGAAGTATTTGACAAATTACAACACCATCGACAAATC